CCCGTGCACCGGGAGGTGGGCGCAGGGCTTGGCGGGTGGCGCCAGGCGGGGCGTGCCCGGGACGCGCTGGGCTCTGGGCTTCGTTTTCGGGGTGACCAGCCATCGCCGCTCACGACACCGAGATCCCGGCTGCCTCGGTCTCCCCGAGCCCAGACGCCTGCCCCGGGTGGGCAGGGCGCAGGCGGCCCCCTCGCCCCGCAGGCCCCAGGGACAGAAGGCCGCAGGTCCAGGGGCAGGTCCCCTGCGCAGCCTGAGGGACGGGGAGCAAACTCTCGGGGAGCACAATAAGGCAGGAGAAAAGATTTGTTACAACACAAAAGAGCCGGGCGTGGAGCGCAGGTCCCCCCGTGCCAGCACTCGGAGGCTGAGGCAGGACGGTCTCCAGCTCACGGCCGGCCCACACCGCCCAGGGAGACCCTGTCTCAGGAACAAACAAACAACAACAACAACAAAAAGCAACCCAAGGAAGCCAGAAGGAAACACGGTCTTGCAGGCAGACTGCGACTGCTGGCCCGGGCTGGGGTCCCAGCGCGTCGTCCTCCCTCGCTCGCTCGCTGGCCGCGCCCTCAGCTTGAGCTCAGCTCCTTCCCGGCGGTGCTGTCAGCGGGAGTCCCGGGCAGCAGCGTGAGGCGAGAGAATGCGAGGAATGCCGCCCAGCGCTTGCACTGCGGGGTGCGCTGTCTCGCCTGTCCGCCTCCGTCTGTCCGTCTGTCTCTGTCTCTTGCCCGGCAGCAGTGCACGAGCCCGCCCTGCCCGCCCTGCCCGCTGCCCGCCCTGCCCACGGTGCCCGCGGTGCGGCTGCCCGGCCTCCCGAGCCCCAGCCCGGCCCCTTCCTGAGGCATTTCCTGCCTTTCTCTCGCCACTGGATTTATTTTTGCAAGGCTGAGGCGGGCACTCGGCTGCGCTAGCCGGCCGGCCCCCGTCGCTTGTGTTTTTAAAGCAGCGACGCAGGCGACAGCAGCAGGCCGCGGGCGGGCGCCAGCTGAGGCGAGCGGCGGCTTCCCGCACACAGCTCCGCGGGGACCCGCTCGTGGGCGCCTGGGCGTGACAGAGGCGTGGTGCAGCCACCCGGCCGGCCCTCCCCGCTGCCCGGGCCTGTCCCACGGTGCCCAGCAGCCCGCGCCGGGCCTGCGCCACCCGCCGGGCGTCACCAGGGCGTCACCAGCAGCCGTGGCCGTGGCCGTGGCCGTGGCCGGCCCAGGTGTGCAGAGCTGCGGGGTGCAACGCAGGTAAGCGCGCGGCTCCCCTGGACGCCGGGACAGAGAGAAGCTCTGGGCAGGAAGGCGGGCAGGGGACGAGTGCGACCCGGGCGCTCGCAGAGCAGCAGGGCCAGCAGACGCGGGGGACCCACGCAGCGCTGGGCGCGCCACGCTTCCGAACGCGCTCACAAGGGGCATGTAAAGGGCACGGGGGAGAAAGCGCACTCGCTGCAGCGTGCGTTCCATCCCCGGGCCGCCAGCGGACAAAAGTCCTGCATCACGCGCTGGAAAGGCTTCGTGAGTTCTACACGCACTGGGCATAGCACAGGCAATTCCAACTACAGACTGATACTGGTTTTTGGTTGGGTTTTTTTTTTTTTCCTTTTGCAGAACCGGGATTTGAACTCAGGCCCTTGCGCCTGCCAGGCGAGCGCTTGTTCTACTGAGCCGTCTCCCCGGCTAAACTTTTTTTCCCAATTCTGTAATACTTTATATGACTGTTTTCACTCAACGCAGCTACCAGTTGTGTACGCCAGGACAGGCTCCATCCACTTCCGAGTCTGTCCTCAGGACTATGTGCTACACGACTGGACGCTGTACGTGCCTTTGGCTTAGGGACGTGCAGGTGCCACACAACGTGCTCGCCGTGCCGGCATGTGGGCTACCCATGCCGCAGCCCCGACTGTCCCAGCCGCCGGAAGCAGGGACGACACTCATTTCGGGCCGTACAGTTTACACCTCCCTTCCATCATCCCGCGTGCCACACTCGTGTTCACACCACGTGTGCGCAGCTGCGTGTGCAGGGCACAAGCCCAGTGGTGTCACACCCTGGTCACAGGCGCGGGCCGCTCACGCGGGCTCCGGGGTGACACTAGGCGCAGGGCTCCTGGGACGCGGGGGGCTAGGCTCGTGCTAAGGGGTGCGTGTCTGTGTGTCCGTGTGGTTTTCTGGGTGCATGTGTGTGCGTGTGTGTGTGCGTGTCCCTGTGCTTTCTTCCGTCTGCTCTTCTTTAATCCCAGCGGCGCGCCCCCAGCTGCGTGCTGCAATCAACAAACGCGAAATGGGCGCGCTGCGCTGCCGACCTGCCTGCTCTCGCCCGCCGCCGCCCAGCCGCGCCCTGCCTGCCCGACAAGCCGGCCCGGCTGCCTCCTCCCCCGAATCTCCTCCCGGCTGCCTCCTGTCCGCCTCCAGGCTGCCTCCTCCCAGAGCCTCCTCCCCTGGAGCCTCCTTCTCTGTGCCTTCTCACCGGGCCTCCTCCCAGGGCCTCCTCCCTGGGCCTCCCTCCTAGCCTCCTCCACGGGCCTCCTCCCTGGGCCTCCTCCCAGAGCCTCCTCCCACGACCTCCTCCCTGGTGCCTCCTCCTGGGTGCCTCCTCCCCCGGAATCTCCTCCCAGACGCCTCCTCCTCTGGTGCCACCTCCATGGGCCTCCCTCCGGGCCTCCTCCCCACGCTCCTCCCCAGCCTCCTCCCCACACTCCTCCCCAGCCTCCTCCCCAGGCCTCCTCCCTCCATCCCCCCCCCCCAGCCTCCTCTCCCGGTGCCACTTCCCTGGGCCTCCTCCCCGCAGCAGCCGCAGCCCTCACCCACGCAGTGTCTGGTCCGCAGGCGAGCGGGGAGGCTGGGGCGGCACCCACAGAGCCCAGGCTGGTTCACCACACGCCCGGGAGCCCAGCACCCTGGAGGTTGAGGCGGGGGTGCTGCACGATCCAGCTCTGCGTGGCGGATGAATGTGACACTGTCCCAAAATTAAAAAGTCTCCATGCTTCGTGTTACCCTTCAGTTGCTCTTTACGTACCCTTTAAGTGACTCAGGAATGGTGCGTTGTTGAAGCTCATGCAGCTGATTGCAGTTTACATCCTGATCTCCAGGTGCATCCATTGTCCCACATGGAACTCCAGTTTATCCTTCTTCAGGGCTGCATAGTACTCCACGGTGTCCATTCCCCTGTGGATGCACGCGTGGGCTGCTCCCCAGAGGCGGCTGGTATGGCTGGGGCTGAGCAAATACGGACGCAGGCGCGCGTGGGTCCCTGCACACCATGCCTTCGGCGCTTTCAGGACGCAGCCCGGAAAGGGGAATTTCTAGGTCATGCGTGTGCACCGGACTGGGGGACGCGGGCCGTCGCTGCTGAGATGCGAGTCACGGCAGATTCCTGCAGCCTCTGGAAAGGCGCAGCGCGTGCTCACATCTTTTCTTCGCCTCTTTAACTGTCTGTCACTTTTTGTGACCCAGTCGGCTGCTCGACCCTGCTCGTCTGAGCAGCCCACTTGGAGGCGCCAGTCCTGCAGCGGAACCACCGTTGTTGGATTCCCGTTCTGTTTAGTGAAATTCTGTAACCTTTCCGTTTTGAGTTTTTTTACTATTTTTATTCTCTCTAATAATAATAACAACAATGAGGAGTCGCGGGGGAGCTTCGCCCCGCTCGCCGTGCGAAGTCGGTCCGCGCGCGGGCCGCTCGGGGTGCCGCAGAGCCGGGTGCAGGAGACGGCGGGGCGGGCCGCGGGACGCGCGGTGACCTCAGGGCGGAACCCGCACCCGGGAGGAATCACTTCCGGGTCGTGCCCACAGTCCGGCCGCGCACCGGAAGTCGGCCTGAGCCCGCCCCCCCACCCTGCCAGGGTGACCTGGGGTTGGGGTGCGGGCTCCGCGTGGAGACCCTGCGGGGACCGCGAGGCGCGGCTCTCGTTGGTCTCTTTTTAGAAAACAACATTTGATTTCGAAAAATTAAAAACACAATTTGTGCAAGTTAAGGAAAAGAACTGCAAATGACACAATTTCACTGAACAAAATGACAGGAGCTCAGCACCGACCGGTTGTCCCGCTGCGCAGGGTCGTCTTCAGACGACCTGTTCGGGTGACCAGCTAGAAGCGCGCGAACTTGGTCCAAAAAGTTCAAAAGGAGAAGAAAAAAAGGCGTGAGGTGCGGCCCCGGGGTCCCAACTTGGAGTCCTAGCACCAAGGGCGTCTCCCGCCAGCACCACCAAGCCGAGGTGCCACGGCTTGTGCCACCAGACACAGGCCACGCGCCGTGGGTACGTGGCCAGAGCGCTGCGTGGCTCCGTGAGGTCTTGGGCGCTGGACCGAGGGATCGGCGCCGGGACGGCTGTGTGGCGCGACGCAGAGGCAGAGGCCGCCTGGACGCCGGCCCGGCCCTGACTGCCCTCTCTCGCAGGACGCCGATGCCTGTGGCCGTGCTCCACCCCGACTACGGCTTCTGGTAAGCGCGGTGACAGCTGGCCGCGCTGCGGCGCCTGCGTCATCTCACCCGCTCACTGCGCTGCGCACTGGGCTCCCCGGGCAGCCTCCACGCCCAGCCGGGCCTCTGCCTCGCAGGCCTGCTCCTGGGGGACGGGGACACGAGGGCCTGGGAAGCCACGCGGCGTTTCCCAGGCTCCGGGCTGAGCCTCGGTGCCTTGCGTTGCAGGGCCCGCGTGGCCGTGGCACTCGGCGTGGCCGTGGCCCTGTGGCTGCCCACCTGCAACGCTGCGACCACGTCCCAGCCCAACTTTCTCCTGCTCATGGCGGATGACCTCGGGATTGGCGATCTCGGCTGCTACGGCAACTCCACCCTCAGGCAAGGGGGACCCAGGGACCCTGGAGCAGAGTCGCCCACGCGTGGCTGCGGGATGCAGCGGCACACGTCACCCCGGCAGTCCCAGCCCGTCTCCCAGACTTTGGCGCCCAGTGTGAAACACGTCGGGCTTGGAAGCCGGGACACCTGCCGCTTGCTGTCACCCGCCCAGTGGGACTTTTGCCCCCTACCCTCAGTGGCACAGATGGGGTTCCCAGTCTGCCAAACCCCCCCGCAGCTGCAGGGCAGGCCGGACCCCCGCGTCCCCTGTAGGCAGGCCTGCAACTTGTTACCCAAAACCAGGGAAGTTACAGTGGGGCGCCAGGAGGCTGAGGCAGGAAGATCCTTGCTGGGTCTGCTCAAACCGCACCATGGGACCCAGGCCACCTCAGGGGACCCCAGATGCCCGCCTCGCGTGGGAGCCCTCTGGGGTCACTGCGGGCGCTGTAGCCGCCGATGCTCCCGGGTCCGCTGACCACCGTCCCCTCCGCAGGACGCCAAACATCGACCAGCTCGCCCGGGATGGCGTGCGGCTGACGCAGCACCTGGCGGCCGCGTCCGTGTGCACCCCGAGCCGGGCGGCCTTCCTCACGGGGCGCTACCCCATCCGCTCAGGTGCGTGCGGCTGTCCCTCGAGCACAGGGCGAAAGGGTGACACTGCGCTGTCACGAGACGGCCCGGGAGCGGGAGCCGGCCGCCAAGGGGAGAAACACTTCAGGCGCTTTCCGCTGCTTCCTGGAGTGTTTCCCACATTCGGGGCATTTTCCGGCTTTCATGTGTGCGACATGAGAGTTTCCTTCGTCTGGCTGTTGGGAGGCAGCTGCCACCACCTCAGACAGACAGACAGACAGCCAGCCAGACAGACAGACAGACAGACAGACAGACAGACGAGAAGCGGGAAGCGGGTATTCAATTTTGAACAGCGGGAATTTCTACCAACTATTGTACTTTGTTTGAAATTAGTGACAGTCAATCCAAAAATGAAATACATAACACCAACTTTTCTTTTTAACCCTGGTCCCCAAAGGCATGGTGTCCTACAACGGGTACCGCGTGCTCCAGTGGGCCGGTGTCGCCGGCGGCCTCCCGCCCAGCGAGATAACTTTCGCAAAGATTTTGAAAGAAAAAGGCTACACCACAGGCCTCATAGGTACGCGCGGTGCTTTTGCGGAGAGTAGTCAGAGGAAAGGTTGGAAACGCACGGGCGGGGTGCTGAGGGGGGCAGGCAGCAGCTCCTGGAGAGGACGCCCACCCGGGGGCGAGCGGCTGCCGGGCGCTGGCCACGCGGGGACATCGACGACCCCTGGGGTGTGCTTGCTTGCTGCCAGCGCAAAGCTCGAGACCCGGCGGGTGTGACGCCGGCGCCTGCAGCCCGAGCTGCTCGGGAAGCTGAGGCAGGAGCGTCCCTCGCACCTCCGATCAACGCAGGCGCCTCCCTGGACGGCAGCGGCCTGTCGCCAGTTGGATTGCTCCGGCCTGAGCGCGCCGTGTGCGCTTGTCCCCGTCACGCACCTCTTTGCCGACGCCCTGGTGACAGACTCGGGGCTGCAACCACGAGCAGCCCCCGCCGGCTCCGCCAGCGCACAGGGTCTCAGCAAAGAAGGAGCCGCCGTGCACGCGGAAGCGCGGGGAGCGCCTGCGCCCCTTCTGCGCCGTGCACCACGAGGGAACAGCTGGTGTCCCCGGCTGAGCGACGCTGCAGCCCTCCCGCCTCGTCCTCCCACGCGGCTGCATCCCGGGCATGAGCCAGCGCCTCTGGCCGTTTTCCTGCCACCTTGTCCCTATGTTGGCGGACGCCAGACCCGCAGACTGCTTTGGCGCAGGCTGAGGGGTAAACCCGCCGGGGGCACCGCGGTGGGTCTCGCGGGGCAGGATGGAGCTCTGAGGACAGCGGCCGTGGCCACGTGGGACAGCGGCGAGACGGCCACACTCGGTGCCCGCCGGACACTGGGCCTCGTGCTGGGGAGGAACCGGTTCTTCTTGTGGCCAGCCTCCAGGCCGTGGGAATGTGTCACAAGTCCCTCAGAAGTTACCCAACTCGGAGACGCTGCCGTGAGTGCGGCCGTGCCTGGGCGAGGCCCCGCTGGCGTGCCAACGACGTCAGACGCCTGGCACGCGGCCGTGAATTCCCTCCCCACCCCGGCTCCCGGCGTGGCTGCTCAGCGTTAACAGGAAATCTGTGTGGAGATCGCTTGATAGTCTAGAACTGGAATTTCCATCTCATCCAGCTAGATTCTTCCCCAGGGAGCTGCCTGTGAGGACAGGAACAGTTGGCTGACATTGTGGCATTTGTGCGCAAGGGAGCACTATGCAGCCGTGAAAAAGGACACATAGAATCACACATGGGGAATCGGGTGCACCTCACACCAGTGTGGAGTGACATCCTTCAGACAGACAAGATTCAGCACTGGGAGGCTTCTCCTGGGCGAGAGCCTCAAAGCGTAAAGACGGAGAGAAATGAGGGAAGGTGGCAAGGAGGCAGAGAGGTATTCCGCAGGATCCTTGTCCATCAATAAAATCCCTCCCCGCTTTCCCCGTCGTCCGCAGGCAAGTGGCACCTGGGTCTGAACTGCGCGTCCCCCCGCGACCACTGCCACCACCCGCTGCGCCACG